TTAATTTAACCATTAACTTTAAGGCAACAATAAAATGCCCTATTTCATAATGACTGCTGTAAGCAGTTAGGTATATAGAATGTAAACAAATATGGAAAATATCTGAAAAACTCGCACACGATCAAACTAAATTGTATAATATTATACTAATATATGCCTAGTTAGCAAGCATGTTGTCATTTTTTTTTATACGTAGTAATGAATAGCATAAAATAACAACAATAAAAAACAACTGCTATCATCATATACAGGCACAGCGGCGTGCTGAAAAAATATTTAAACTTGAAGCAAAACAAAAAATCAAGGACCCACTTAGGTATCCAAAATATGAATTTTTACCTTAATTATCCAATAAATTATTTCACTAAGGTACACAAAAAAAATCTGTTACTTTAATTTTATTCTATATTTTTTGTTTTTCTTAAGTTCTTAACATTCATCACAAACACATTCTAGACTTCAGACAATTGCCTCAAAAACCTTCTTCTGCACTTCACCGATGACATAAGTATTACATCGCTATTTATGAGGTATAATATAAAATGTACCCATAAAAAATATCATGAATTTTAGCCATTTTTTATAACTTTTTGTAAAAATGATGATACTTCTATAGACGCTTAATTTATAAATAAAGATAAATTAACATACCTACTCGGGCTCCTATAATAAATAACTATCGACGTCCGACGCTATAATAATATGCAATAAGCTATTATACCTGCCATTGTAATCAGCATAACCTAACGATATTTATAAAATTCGATGTACCTATTACATTTATCACAAAACTAATGAATTCATATTCTATAATAGCGGCATGGATAAAAGTATATAGGTATAACTATTAAAGCGAAAAATCGTATGTACTTATCTAAACTACCTAGTAAAATAGTACACTAGTACCTACACATCCTACATCTTAAATAAAAATAATTGACTTATAGGTAGGTATATCTAATGGGTTATTTAATGTATAGACTCACATGATGTCAATGGGTCTTAAACAATCATCATATATTATTATAATATTTATATAGGTATTATTGTAATTTATGTTATTTGATGGATTCTAATTTTCATTAATTTGAAATATCAAATATTTTATGTTTGTAAGAATAGTAATAAAATATAATAACACATAGGTAGATTGTAACTTGTAGCCTGTAGGTAACAACTAACAATATATAATGTACAGTGTGTTATAATTATTACCTAGGTACCGTACGTCCGTATCCAACACAATAATATAGGTAGGTAGGTACCTACCTCCAGGGGCGTGATCAGGGGAGGGAGGTGAGGATGTCATATCCCCCCGCTTTGGCTTATTTTTGTCAGATAATATGTATGATAAAGCAATGAATGTAGGTATACATAACGTGGTCTGATAATAGTCAAAAATTCATATCCCCCATTTCGAAAACGCTGTCAGCGTCACTGCAGCCTGCCTCCACCTATGTAGATAATGCTAATATATATAACTATCTAAACGAGTTGCGACTTACGAGTATACTGTGTTATTCGTTTAAAATTAATAAATTAACAAAATTAAAAAGATGTAAAGACGTAAACTTACCAATTACTTAATATTAAGCAAATACCTAAAGGTATTCCTACCTACAAAAATAAAATGTGTCGATAGGTAAGTGACGAGAAATTTATTCATTTCATATTTTTATTTTGAATTTAATGCTAAATAATATGAAAACCGTAGGTCAATGTCTCAATGATAAATGATAATTGACAATATTTGATAAATAATAATAAGTTAATAACCAAGCAATGCAAGTATAATGGTCTATAATTTATAACAGGGTGGTCCAACTTCAACCCTTTGTAGTTGGAGGGCCAGTTTATACATTTATAAACACTAGGGAGGGGGGCACCAAAAGCAAAACAACTTTATTCGTATTTTATTTTTTTTAAAACATATTACTATCATAAAATACACAAGTTGTCGCATTATGGAATGCACGTATAGATTATTAGTAGGTACTGCAGCCACGCCATCTCCCACCGCCGGTAACCGGTCAAAAAGTACGAAAATACAAAATATACTATTACATTTTCTATAGTAGGAATAACTTATAACTTATACAATTTATTTGGCATCAACCTATCTTAAAATCGAACTTCATAAGTTTTGGGTTACTCAACTGTAAAATAATATACCTTATACAGTTATACCTAAAACCATATAAGATCTGTACCTACAACACTATAAGTACCTATACATAAAAAAAATATTTATGTATATGTAAGTAGTAAGTACCATGGATTGTTTAGACATTTGTTATTTTGTATTAGTGCAATAGTACATACATTTTTTTTCGTTGTTCTAATTCTGCACGATTTGATTCCAATCATGGATTTTATTGAATAGGTACTAGAGAATGTGACCTAATTAAAATATTGTTACGTTTTTAAACATTTATTGTCAGTCAGAATTCCTTACCTGTTATAAAAAGTCAGACATTTTAATACCTATAAGGCATAATATAATAAAAATAGTAAACTCGGCAAAAAATGTAGGTTCGGTCATTTTGTTACTTGCTAATATGGGAAAGCATTAAATCAATATTAGAGATTTATCATTTTCAGCAATGATTAAGTAAGGATATAGAGCAGTAGTTCTCAATCTTTTTAATACCGTGACCTAAATTTCCCCCGAAAAATCTTTCGCGACCCACATTGTTTCACTTTTCAACAATTTGTGAAAAACAAAATTTGTATTACATAAATATGTATACATTTTTATTAGGTACCTATTTTGTTTTTTTATAGGTTTATAATTAATATGAATAAAAATATAATTAATATAATTAAAATGTACTTTTTATAATGAGGTACCTAACATAAATTTTTTGGAATCTATATAATTCAAAAAAATATCCGACCCACCAGTGGGTCGCGACACACACTTTGAGAAACGCTGATGTAGAGCACAATTTGTTTTCTCTCTCCGACCCATGCACAACATAGACAATTATAATTCAGTAGAACCAATCTTGTATTGTTAATTGCTTTAATATTAGACTGAATTTATCTATTACAAAACCTAAACCTAAGAATATGTGTTCATACATTATTTTTTACTCAAATTATGACTTATGATTAGGTAGGTATTTATAAATTATTAGTTTAAAAATGATAATACAACGCAAGAAATTGGAATGAAGTAACTATGATTATATTAAATAATATATCTTTAATCGTGATTGTAACAAAGCCAAATTAGCCAACAATCAACATACAAACATTGATATAACTATATTATTCTTATCTTTGACAATATATAAATTTACCTATACTTTATTACCTATTAAAGCTATTAGCTAACAACACATGCCACGTCATTGGTACTGTTGAATACTCTGTACTTGTATGTGGATCAAAGATAGAAAACAAAAGTGAGATGACATACTCTAAACCTCCAATTTACCTATTTTATATTCAACTACTGTAGAACTTTGTGATTGTCTTCAGGCTCTTATTGTATAGGTACCAAATATTCTGCGAAAGCTACTTCTCCACATCATGGACGCATTATAGAATATAGATTACGTCTAGATGTATTCAAAATTCAATGCAGATGATATCTTCATCATCAATACCTCTAAAGTTTGTAACCACCAAGTACCACAACATAGTATAATAATTCTCACTTTTTTAAAATGTTTTAATAATTTGCGTAAGGATAACTTTTTCTAAGTAAAATTGACATTAACTGGATAATTAGTTTTCTAATAAAAAGGTATATTAATAATATCAAATTCACAATATTTTTTGTATTTTTATTATATTAAAAAAAAATTGAAAATGATAAATTTGAAACTAAACATCAAAAAAAAAATTATAATAATAATAAATATTATTTTTTAAAATTAAATAGTAGTAGTAAAATTATGTTGTCACCTAAAAATTAGCTAATAATGTACATATCACGAACATAACAATATTTTTTACTCGAAAAATTTAAAAAAAAAACATAATGTTATATAATATATTTATATTACATAAGTATTTTGTACATCACAAGCAATTATTTTGTTTAACATTTTGTGAATTGTAGATAATTGAATGCATATGCTTACATTAATTGAAGCTTTAAGTTAAACTTCTAAAATCAGTTTATTTTCCAAATGCGTTAAATAACTATCAACCCATTGGATTATTGTTTATTTCGCACTAGTAAAACCAGGTTGAAATATTTAACATTTATTCATAGTACACTTGGATGAAATTACTCATCAACGGTTTATTAATTATTATTGGAATAAAATTGTTCGATAATAAACCATAATTTAAATGTGAAGTTATTTCTTAAGGAATAATAAATACCTTAAAAAAAACTGAATATCAAATTATGAGATTAGCTTGAGATTTGAGAATATCAAAACATTCACATAATTACATTTTTGACGATTAAGTTTTACAGTTATCGTTAATTCAATAATAATACAAAACAACCAAACATTTTGTATTATTTTTATTTGGGATATAAATAACAATATCTTATTCAATATTACATCAAATCAAAATTGAAAAATATTTAAATTAACTGTTATATTAAATTTTAAAAAAATAATAAAAATAGAAATTACATATTTAGATTGAATTTTAACAGAGCAGTAATCTCACCCAAGTCATAAATATATTCTGAGTAACAAAATAATAATAATAATAATAATAATAATAATAATTAAATAAATAGTATAATAATTTTACTATACAATCTGGACGAACCAAGTGCTTGAACTCAGAAAAAAAATTTTTAATTAAAAAAAAATATACTTAAGCTCTTTATGGGCAGTTATAGGAAAAAGTAAGTGAGGTATTGATTGATGTGTTCCTGAACCAAAACTTAATAGAAATTAACATAAATAGATTTACATATATTTGTTTTTAATATAAAAGTTAATGGAAACGGTATTTAATTTAATTATTTACAGGAACTAATGTAGGGCTCATTTATTTTTATATATTATAAAAAATTACTACTTAGGTAACTTAAGTATTTTTTTTTTTTTTTTGACATAAATAATTAAAAATTTGTTTAATAAGCAAACCAATCAAATAAAATCTATACTTCTGAGTCCTTTTTTATTTTGAACAAGAGAACGTGAATGTACTTGATAATTATTTACCATATACATTTATATATTATTTTTAACAAATAAAAAAGCAATAAATGAATATTATACTGTCTTACTGTCTAGTGTCAAGACTAGTGTCAACAATTGAAGCATCTTGGCATCATTTTTTTTATTGATCGTTGACGGAATGCACGGGTGACCAAATGCTAACAGTCTATTATATGTTATTTTAATATATGTTTTTTTCTTTTATAGATATAAGTATATTGTAGCCTATTAATTTAATTACAAAAAAAAAAAGGAAAGAGATGTTTCAAAATTAAATACAAAATAATATTTAATTTATTGGATAATGCAATCTCACGTAATGGTCGGAACGGGAACATTTAGGGCACTGTCACGCGAGTTAGAGTGCGAGGTGGCGCGTAACAGCGTGACAGCTTCTCGTTCAGAGCTGCATTTAACCACTGTTAGTCACTTAGGACGAGGAGTTTTCTTCTTTTTACGTTTAAAAAAACAACAACATCTATAAACGATATTTGTTTTAGATAAGACATTAAAAATGTATAAACAAAACTTTTTCATCATACTTAGTGTCATCAACAATTTCTGTTTCAGCTTGTGCTGTAATAGGAGTATTGGAATGGCCAGCAGTTGGATCATCATTTGCCAATTCACCATTAGTCGAGCTTACCACCTTTAAATATAAAATAAATGCAATCAAATTATAATATTTAATAAAATAATTATTCTAGATTAAATTACTTGAACACTTCCATGACGATCAGCAGGGGTTAAGTTTCCTAATGTGTGACCTGGAAGCTTTGACCCATCTTGCCAACCTTTTGTTCCAGACTAAAAAATGTATGATAATGTAAAAATTAACATAAGAATGTAACAATGAATCTTATTACTAAATGTTTATTAGCATTTAACAAAAGATGACAACTTGTTACAGTAAAAAACATAATTTTTACAGGAATGATTCTACTGGTATTAAATAAATTGAATGAATATTATACACATATGTATGGCTTGTACTATGTACACTTGGTTTTGCAGGATAAAAAATTAAATGGTCTTTAATGAAATTGATACCTTATTGATTAACAACAATACACTATCATCATTATCATCACTGTAGACGGACATTTCGTCATTGTCCTTGCACATTAATAATAATACAACATGATGTAATTAACAATAATATAAATAAATTTAAACTTATAAATAATTTTACCTTGTTGCCTGCAACTTGTCTTTCTCTGTTTGGTGATAAAATAACTTCTTGACTGGACTGTATGGAACCAACTAATGTGCACTAAAAATAAAAAAATGATTGGTTATTTATGATTATATCATCAAAACCAACAAACATTTAGAAAAAGCATTTAAAAAAAAAACCATACAATTATTAATGACCACTATAAATGTTATCCGTGTGACTTACCAAATTGCTTTCAGATGTTTGAGGACTTTCATTGGCTATGTTGCGTATAACGCGAAGTATGTTAAACAAGCCACGTTTCTGATTTTATAGCATAAGATAACACAAAAAAAAAAATCATGCAGCATGCACAGAATATATAAAAGTAAAAAGAACCAAAATTATTATGTTGGTAGTGAAATAATAATTTCTTCAAGATACACTAAGTATATAATATACAGTCAATGCATAATAAAATTAATAAAATTTTAAGATAGCAACATTCATGAGCTCGAAATAAATAATAAACTTAATCGCCAGTTTAAATTTTAAATGTGTTACAAGCATTAACTTCAACTAATATACTTCTATTTATATTGATTTAATTAAAAATAATACAATATAATATAAGTAAAGTAATAATAAAATGTCTAATAAGAGTGACATTTTAAATAACTTGTCAAGCTAAATTAATATTTACTAAACATTCTTTCATACTACATCATAATAATCAATAATTATTTAACAACTTTCATGTTGTTTAATTAAATCATCATAATTAGTTACCTATGAAAATGTAATAATTTGTCAACAATCAATATTCAGCAAAAATAAATAGTTGATATTTAAATTTCTGTTTATTCAACATTCTAAAAGGCCATAAAGCTAAAAGTTTCAGCTGATTGATGGATTATAGAATGAAAAAAAGTTTATCAATACCGGGCTATATAGTATAAATTATACCTCATTATTATATCATACTTGTTAAATATTCACAAAAAAGTAAATAAATTTATTTATTTTAGAAATACTTAGTTTTTTGTTAATGTTATTCATGCAATTAAGTCATAACTCATAAAAAAATAAAATCTTTTAAAATAATAAAGCATAACATACCATTGTTTTGCCCGTCCAATCAAATTCTGAGTCGTTAACATAACCTTTTTTCTCAAATAAATTTTTGAATAATGTACGCAAATATTCATAGTCTGGTGTCTCGAAGAAATCCAACCGTCTAACATAACGTAAATACTGGGCCATTTCCTCTAAAAACATAATTAAACAGATTAGAACTAAAATCATTTCATATACTACAATAAATACCGGGATATCCATCACACAAAACTTCTATAGGAGTGGCTCGTTTTGTATCACCAATTTTTTGATATCTTTCTTTAAGAGTATCAGCTTTTAAGCCTTGCCATGGTAATGAACCTCGTAAAAAGTACATAAACATATGTCCAAGAGCTTCTAAATCATCTCGCCGACTTTGTTCTACAAGAAACCATATAAACTCAATATATTATATTTATGCAAAAAATATATTAAAAAATTAATTTAAGCTATTATAGTTTAACTTAATTATTAAACTTTAAAAGTTTATACATCATAAAGTATTCAATATTTTTATATTACAATCTGTGAATAAACATTCTAAATCAAATTGCAATCTAAGTAATTAAAAATAAGGTGAGCCGTTAAAAAAAAGTATATATCCTAAAACTGCTATTATCGAAATAGAAAAAAAATGGCTACATCTGAGTTCTCAATTTTGTATGAATTGAGTCTGGACGAATAAAATATTTTGTTTGAATTCAGTTTGGGCGCATAACATTGCGTGATCAAATTGCCAAATAAATATTAATTAACAATTAATTTGTTAAATCTGTTAACTATATGTTTCTAACTATTAATATAATATCATACAAACCAATTATATATTAGACAACAAATCACAAAATATATTAAATAAAACATAAAATAATAAAACTAAAGAAAAACTAGTAAAAAGAGAACAAAACATTGTTTTAACCATACCTATAATAATTAGATGATATTATAAGTTACAGGCAATACTAAATCTGTTAAAGTGAAACTAACATTTTTTTCCAGGACCCAACTATTGGTGCATACCACCAATTAAAAATAATACAAACATTAAGTTTTGTTTAAATTATATAAAAGCTATAATTGAAACTAAATTAGTTTTAATTATTAGATATTAAATAAAAAACGTTATATTTACTTCAAATTATAATAGCATGTTTTTCAACAAACAAATATTTATAATTTTTTCAGATTAAAATCATTCATAAATACTTAACAATCAAATAGTATCTATCGATGAGTTTTTATTTCTATTTAAGAACTCGATGTTCTTGTACAAATTGATGAACCTTATACATAATTTACACAATTATACCCTGAAAAATATTTCATTAAAATAAATCTATATACCTTTTCCTAAATGTGTGTTTATGCTCATATATCTTGCTGTACCAGTTAAACTTTTATGTTCCCGGTATGGTATATGTTTATTTGTTTCTAAATCTATGTATTCTTTAGCTAAACCAAAATCTATAATAAAACATTAATAATATTAGTTTAAACAGTTTATGAGTGTAGACAAATTTGGAACTTGTAATTAAGTTACTTTTATTCTAGAATAGACAGTACTATGCATATTCATAAGATTATAGAAAAAAAATTTTCAATGAATATTAATGAAATTAATTGATACATTTTCTGGTAAGAGTGTTTACACTGCTATAACAAATTATAATGTATATATATTAATCTGCAGGATTGCATGGACAATCGCTTAACATTTAACAAATAAATAGTGAGCTTATGGTTCCTTAAACATGATTTAGTGGCCCATAATCGGTCCATTTAATTTTATTGAACCATTAAATTAATACATTTTTCATGCAACCCGACATAAGTCTTAATACTGGTTACAACCTTTTAAAACTCAATAAAGAAATTGAAAATTAAAATTAAAAGAATAACTAAATTACTCAAAAAAAAAAAATATGATAATGGTACAGAACAAATTCCAAATTAATTCAGTAAAATTGATCGTTATTATTAACCTATAATATGAATAGTTTTATCTTTTTTCGTTGAAGTGCGACCAATGAGAAAGTTTTCTGGTTTAACATCTCTATATATAAGATGTCGACCATGAACATATTCTATCCTGTGCAACTTTAAAACAATACAAAAAATAAATTAGAGATATAATTAAAAATTTAATGAACACCAAGAATATTACATTTTTATCATTATAAAAAATAAATATATAACAATTACCAATTGAGTGGCAATCATGAGAACAGTTTTGAGCGAAAACTCACGCCCACACATATCAAACAAGTCCTCAAGACTGGGACCAAGGAGTTCCATGACTAAAGCATTATACTTGCCACATGGACCAAAAAAAAATACTTCTGGTATGCCATCTGAGAAGAAAGCAGGAGCTATGGAATTACACAAATATTATTATGTTAAAAGTTAAAAATGTATATAAATTATATATTTCTGTAGACTGTAACAAGTTTTTCACACATAGTAAAAAAATATATATTTTTATCTTTACCGTGAGATCCAAGTAATTTATAAAAGCGATATTCCAAATGCAATTGAGGCGCTTTGGATTTCATTGGCTCCTAAAATATTAAAAATTAAATAGAACATTTTTTAAACATAAAACTACTTATTAAATTTATTGCATTACACAAATATCAACATATATCTGTCATTTAAATATTGTGCTTTATTAATTATAATAATAATAATAATATGATTATTACCATTTTTATTGCCACATGTTCGTTTGTGTATAGGTTTTTTCCTAAAAAAATAAAAATATGTATTATAAAATAAACATAATTATTTAACATTAAGAATAATGTATTTAAATTAGTTTTGTTAAATGATTTTGGTACAGTGTTTTCTATAACATATAAATGCAACTAGCCAATAGCATTATAAAAGTTACACCATCACATTAAAAACAATTAATTCTTTAAATTAATTTTAAAATGAGATTTAGAGATTAGTAATAAATAAATATTTTTTTTAATGACATTCCATTTAAAATTACTAATAATCGTTTATTAGTTTTTGCTGTCTAAAGGGACAACCTTTATTTTTTTTACAACAGTCAAAATCTGAGATATGTTTTGACATGACAGGCCAAAGTTGTTCGGAAATGGATGAGATGTAATGTGATTAAAAAAAATGAAGAATTATTTTATTGTATTTTTTTCACAGATAATTTTACAGAGAAAAAAAATAATTTTACTAATTTCCTTACAATAACTCCAATTTCTAACATAAACATAATTAGGATCGAAATTAAAAATTAGACAACTGGCTGGTTCAAAAAGCTTGACGGATATAGATTGGAGACTCTTGATCTAACTTTTGCATACAGAAATTTAAATTAAAAATAGATTTATCTGGTTAAAAATATTTATTGTATTTATATAAATATTTTTTTCATTTATTGGTAAAATTACCCTCGACAGCATGGGTCATTGGATTGACAAATGATTTAATTAATTACATAATATATTGTCTACTTATTCTAATTATTCTAAACGGTTTTTAAACCTTGGTTTAGAATTTGGCAGTTTCATTATTATATTATACCTATTATATAGTGCTCAATATAATATTATTATATACAGACTCAAAAAATTATAAAACAGAAATATATACTCAAATAAAAAAAATGTTGGCACTAACTTGAATTTTGTAAATAAAAATAAAAACTATACTAACAGTAAAATGGGCTTAAATATTATTGACTAAAAGGAAATGTATTTACCTGGCAAAGGGTCTTAGGGTCAGTTGGTAAATAAGTAATTTCAGTAAATATATAGTTTAGTATATATGTCCAAATAAGACATAAATATAAAATAATGATCAATTCTATTAAGTTTGTTTTTCTTCTTATTATACATAAATGAACAAAAAAAAGTTTAAATTAAACACATGGATGCTTCTAATCGAAAAAAAATTAAATACTCCACACAGAATTTGATCATTCTATCAATCTATGAAAATCAAGTATCAACACATCTATAACACATCATTGTTATTCTTAATTTAGTGGTAATATTATTTATATACCTAACCCATTACTTAGAAAAATATTGAACACAGATAATATTTAATTCAGCATTTTTAGGATAAAAATAAAATTGCCTTTTAATTAATTAATTTTAATAACTCAATTTATAGCAATGTGATTCATAAATCATTATAATGAATACGAAATAGCAAAAATGTTGAATGTAATGTTTTTATTATTTTTTTTTTTTTATCAATTAGAACATTTTACATAATCATCCCCTAAATTTTACCAACCACAACAAATGTTCACATGTTTTATCCAAATTTTTTTTAAATAAGTTTTTTGGGAGGCTGCTAGTTACAAAACACTGAATAATATAAAAAAAAAACTTTTATGTAATAGAGAGATACGTGCTTACTAACTGAATAGCTAGACTAACTATACATTTCATACTTATCTCATTTTCTAGTACTTATTGTTCTAATTAAACTTTTTAATCAATTTCATTGAATTTTATTTTATTTACTTTTCAGAACTATATGTTTTTCATGCTTAAGACCTGTATAGACTGTATCTTTTATAAATATATTTATGTAAATGTGTTATTTATTAGTAACAGAAGCTAATACAGAAAAAAATAATAGATTTGATAATTCAGACTTTGTGATGTAACCAAGATCTTGAAAGGTTTCACCCTCGGACTAGGTAATGTATCGGAAATTATCCAATAGTAAATGGTATAAATAAAATGTTAGCTGGTTATAAAGCTATACATGAAAAAAATAAATGAAACTTAATGATGACAAACATACAATGTAAATGTTTGCACCGAGTCCTAGTCCTATTCACTTGATCTTTGTAAACAATGTCAACAAAGTACATAAAGTAAACAAAAAGGGCAAACCTTATCAATCATAGATAGATTATATTCTCAGAATACAACCAAATTGTAATTTATGAATGTGTACAAAATGTATATATTATATGGATATATCTTTTTGGATTAAGATACATCTAGCAAGTAATCCTGCACTATAGGAATAATGACAACTTTAATATTATCTACTAACAAATATTGTATTTATTAAAATAATTTTCAGTGATTAATTACTAATAAGTAATAACTGATGGATATTTACTAACAATTGATACATTTTTAGCCATACCCTATATTTTAAGGCATGATAACAACACATTTGTTTAAGAATATTTCATATTTAATACATTTTGAATTATTTTAATATAGGGTCATCAAATTTAAAATCACCTGAAAGCCAAAGATAATTTTTATACCTAATCATATTTAAACCCAAACACCATATTTATTCAAAATACTGTAGCATGCACAAAAACCTTCATACAATAAATACTGTAATTATAATTTATAATAATCGTTTTTCAGATATTGTTCTTACAAATACATAATTTTTTTTATTAAAATTGAACATAACATTTTTTAAAAAATATTTTAGTTAATTTATTTATTTGATAGAAATATTTGTGTTGGATGTTTCTTAAAATTGGACACACGAAAATCCATAAAATAAATAATAACTTATATAAAATGGCATTTAACATTAAAAATGAAATAAAATCAATAATTACTACAAAACTTGACAAAAAATGTTCCGGGTCACTTTGCTAATGTTTAAAAGGATTAATAAAACAATCCTTTTATTAAGAGTTCAAGTTTAATTTAATATAGTATTGAAAGTAAACACAAAGGTAATACATTTATATATAATGCAAAGAAATAATAAAATAAATTTTTTTTTAAATAAACATTGTTACGATAAAACATTAAGTATTAACCAATACAATGATTAGTTGTTGTTGTTATTGTTATTATTATTGTTATGATTCATTGTGTTGGTATTAAAACATTTTTACTGCCACTTTTAAGTTTTTTTTCAGTGATTTAAAAAGCTTAAAATATAGGCTATAGAGTACCTATAGGCATTAGCTTCAATAATAGTTCTATGCAACAACATTTTTTTGAATTATAAAGAGAAATGTTTTCTTTTATACCACGGAAAAGATAAATACAAATACATGATATTGAGATTTACTAAGAAACATTTGTTTATTGAATATATTATATAATAGTAGCATTGAGTTAAGACATCACAGATTAATACTCGATTGCCTATGTCTAAAACTTCAAATTTTGATAAAAATAAATCTATAAAATTAGAAAAAGTCACATTCTTAATTCCTACTGATTCCCACTTTACATTCCTTCATTATAATAAACACGAAATACCTAATTACCACTTACATTTAAAATTATAATATGAGCTCTATACATACAAATACAACAAGCCTATTCAGCATAGATGTATAACATATCATTTTTGAAATTATAATATTTAGAATTAATATTTAATGATGAACATTAAATTAATGAAAATCAATTCTATTATGAATTGTTATTTTTTAACCGCCTACAAGTTTAAAGACAATTGTCCTTACATTTAAAAAATATCTGTGGGATAATAAAAAAATGATCTTAGGTACCTTCCTAAAATATCTAAGGAGGTAATAGGTCAATTTTTCAATTTATAGATAGTCAGATAGAGCTACTTGAAGTTTTAAAACCACTCTACTAGACAAAAACATATCTAATAGAAATTAAAAAGGTAATCATTGTAAAAGCAATATCATTAGGCAGATTACTTGCTTCATGAAAAATCTATGAAGTACATTTAAAACTTTAAGGGAATTAATAGAAAAATGGTTAATGCAACATTTTTAATAATCAGAAAAACTTAACAACACTAATTAAATGAATCTATGATAACTTTAATAAAACTAAATTATGGGTGATAAAGTTACCAGGTATTTTAAATTTAACTAATTTTTATATATTTTAACCCCAAATAGTTTTAAATTTAATTGAGAACTAAAAATAATAGTAATATACGAGGTGTTTTTTAAGCATGTTAACCTCATTTTTATGTTTGAATTATGCATCTGACATTCATATAATAATAAAGTAAAGTGATCAAATTTTCAAATAATAAGCTTTTTCACAACATTTAAGTAATATGCTGTGGCAACACTAACATTGGGGTTTCAAATGAAAAATTACATGTTTTTATGCGAACTGTGAATCACATGATTTTTTGAAAATATTGTCACATTGTAATCAACAGTTGAATGAAAAGTTTCTGACTCTGAGTTATTCTATTTTAAATACTAAAGATAGCAGTAGTTTATTAAATACTTTGTAAATGGACACAAGCTCAGTAGTTATTAAAGGACCATTAAAGTGTGTACCAATGTCAACCAGTGTTGACCCAAAAGTAATAACATAATAAAAAATATTTTATACTATAGACTACTGATACAGGCACTTTCTACTAAGCTTATATAAATGTACAAGTATTTAATAGACTATTTTCCTCATTATTCAAAGTAGAATAACTCAGTAACTTATTGCTTAAATTTTGATAACAATAAGTCAACATTTTTAGAAGAATCATCTGATTCACAATTTGTATTAAAATATGTAGGTTCTCATTTGAAAAACAAAGTTGATATTGGCATCGAATTCTCTTTAAATGTTGTAAAAAATTTTAGTATTTTAAAACATCGTCTTTACATAGACTTGAAAATTCCAAGTTAGAATTTTAGTATAAACTGTATAATTTAAACATAAAAATTTGGTGAACATGCTAAAATAATGATACTGAATAAGGTATAATTCAATAGAATTTCATAGAAATAACAGAAGAATATACATATTTCTGAATGTAAGCCACTAATACAATATCTAAAAATTAAATACAAAAAATTATTAAATAAGTTTAATAAAAATTAATAGTATGAGTAATAAAAAAATGATAATATTTAGGTAATCTAAAAACCATATTTAATACCAAACTAAAATAAAATTGTAAACATTCTTTTTTTTTTAATAAAGAAACCTTTTTAATATGTTTAACAGTATATTTCTAAAAATAATATACATTGACAACAATTGTTAATAATTGAATGTGATTTTTTTCATACTCAACCTTATACATTTTTTTTACTATGTAATACGTAGTATGAGGTAATTATTACTAAGTCCTGGAACTTAATGCATTTGCATTTTTTTACATACAGAATCTTATGTTATTTGTCTCTCAAAAAATTTGATTCATAACATAAAGAATATACTTAATGTTACAATTTTTATTAATCCATATTTGCATCTTATGGTCATTTTTAGTTATACTTTGGTCATTTTTTTAGAAAATTCTGTATACATCTCAAATAAATAATGAATACAGAAATATTTTTTCCTTAGAATAACCATTGAATTCATTTATTTCTAAAATCTTAAAATGGTCACAAAAACACATATAAATAATATTAATTTACCAAAAGCCAGCATAAACCGTTATTTTACAAAAACAAAAGTTAAACTTGTTAGCTATATTGTATTTATTATGAGATAATTGATTGTTTCATTGTCTGTTGTATAATAGTTTAGTTTTGTTTTCTAGTTTATTTTAATAAGTTATATTGAAAATTGGGAAGACTGATATTATAACATAATTTTAATCTGTATTTTAAGGACATTCCATAGTATTGGTTTTTATATTTTTGGAATTAATAATAACAAAAGGTTTACTACTAATAAATTTAGTATTAAAAATATACTTTATTTAATCTAGATAAAATGCGTACCTAAAATATGAATGAAAAAAATAAGAAATGAAGAGAAATAAAATATCTAAGTGTTCCATAAGTGGTTTTAAAAAATTAATGGTAACAATATTTGAATTCCACAAATTATTGGAGTCTGCAATTAGATAAAGTTTTTATCATTTGAAACTGTTAGATGGGTTTAACATTTTAAGGGTGGATATGTACTTACACCCTCTGAAGTAAATAAACTACCACATTTATTGTTTATAGTGATTTGCCTACCTATGCTTTACTTTAGTTTATTATACATTAAACTAACAGAAGTGATAAAATGTTATTTAAATTAAGATTTAATTGCTTTGAATGTCTTGTAGCAAACATTTCCAAATAGTAAACTATCTTCAATGGGTTAAATGCATTATTTATACAATTTCGGGAAAAGAAATAAAACAATTATTATTCACCCAGGTGTTATACCTACATTGAATTCAAATGTTATGTTATTAACACTATCAAGTAGGAAATCTACATCCAAAAATTGAACTATGTATTGACATTTGAAGATGAGCAATACCTAAAAATGTAGTTTCATACTTAATGACGATAAACAATATACGTAATGCTTTAAGACAGAATGTAATGTATTAATCGACATTATTTTAAAATAACAATAAATAGACCAATCATCTTCCATTAGGTATATGTATGTCATTGAGCAGTACCTATCGATTGTTACTTATAATATTCTATTTACCAAGTCTTAGCTCCCCAAAATTTCCACAGCCAATCTTCTTGCCAACACGGAAATTCGGGCCAACCATGAGTACACTAGAGTTGGCTGATGATGACAAGCCATGTCGTCCAGCAACTGCTGAATGCATTGCCCTCGATCCGGTGGATTTTCCGCCGCGCTTGTCATCCTTACCGTTTTGTTCCTTTTCCCGGTCCCTTTTCTGCATGGCGCCTGTTTGAATATATTCCTCCGCGAAAATTGGCCAATATTAGCTCATTGTACGCCAAAATTTATTATAATTCTCCCGACGTTCACACGTTGTGACCCAAGACAATAAACACTGTTATCATTGCGTTAATTTTTTTCAAGAAATTTAATATGCCTGGCCGAAACAGAGCGCCGGTTTTATGACTGCATTTTTCTTGTACAACTATAGACTAATTAAAAAACAATAGTTACATTAAAACATACGGTTAACCGTGTTGAAATTGAATAAAATTGAAAACGAAACAATTGCAGCTGAAACTCTCCATTTTTTTGTGACTGATTAAAAAAATTATATATATATATATATATTACATAAATGTGTGTGTGTATATGTATATTCATATTACATATATACATTCACTAAACATGTGTTTCGGTATCAATTCCACTAGAGCGCGGCAGTATCGCCAATTACAAAGAGAATACAATTCGGTGGAACGGAATATTTTTTTCCTACTACCAATTTATTCTAAAAATTCGACTAATTTACTATTAAATATCAATTAACTATTTAAAACTACTTTACAAAATATGTATGGCCATTAGAGACATTTCGTCTCGATGTCCGGTATTTAAGACGAACTGCCGAATATTATTGTTCCTCTATTTTATCTTTGTGTCTGACGTCTCACGTCACATGCAGTGTCGGTCTGGCTGAAACGATATTGGAGCTCGACGCCCCATGCAAACTTAGAAAAAAATTTTAACTATCTTTCAACGCATTGCAATAAAATTATTTTATTTTCGTATAAAATATAATCTATCGCATTTACGTTGTTTATTATTACAATAAATCATACAAAAAAAATTATAATCAATGTTTTACACACACCTACTTTTTTTTTTACAATTGGTACACATTATAAAATTGAAAAAAATGTAATTAACATTAATTAAATAAATTATAAATTATTATTAAAATAGTAGTGGTTTTAATTAATTGCTGGAAGATCCCGATATATTAATAATTTTATCTTTGTTCTTAAGTTGAATGATTTCTTCTGCAATAATAACAGATTGCAAAATAATAAGGATCTAGATATGCGCCTACCTAATATCTAGTGCTCCTACCTATATTACCATTAATGCCTATCGATGGCTCATCAATAAGATCAGTTTTGTTATGAAAATGTTAATAGTTTTTAAAATATTCGTCCACGCCCAACTTCTGTGCATCTGAAACTGAAGAACGTATTTAAATGTTGTGCACTGCAAAACCGATGTAGAATAAACCAGACTTTGTCGTTAAATCAAAAATAATTTGAAATGTCCCACTAGCTGACGACGACTATCATAAGTGATTCAATTATACATTTTCCCATTTGGCGGGCCCCCAACATTGAAAAATCGCTGAGTGTAGCCGAGTGGCCAGACCGACATTATTGTGGGTATATCTATAGCCCATAGACATATTATATATATGTATGTGAGCATATAGGTACAAATAGGGTGGGTGGGAGGCTTTGGGGGCACTTAGTTCCCCCAGATTTCCACTGAGTCCCTCCAATTCGAAAGACAGTACTTCGTGCTAAGCGCATGTATCATTTTCGAAAAATATTTTAGAAGGGGCTTTAACACCCCCCCCCCCCCAAACCCAGAAAAAAAATTGTAGTATTTGCGCCATTTCGGTTAAGTATGCCGTATTTATAATACATATAGATCTATATAATATAAAGAAATGGACTGATAACAGACAGAGAGGTCTAGCGGCCAACATTTTTATAAAAATATAGCATACGCCCTGTACGTCTATAGTCAGGTCCCATTATATTACACTGATATAGACTATCTCTTTCTGACAATGTGTCAACGTTTGAACTTGGGCAACCTATAATAGGATAGGAGGAACTGAGGAAGTGTAGTCTATATATTAATAAATCTATGCCATAAAATGATATTTAATAAGTATACTATATACAGAGGGATTCACCTAGCACGCTCATCCACATTTTTTTTGAATAATTAATTTATTCAAATTCGTATTTTGGAATTTTGAAGTAGGTACTCACAGGCACTTATATAATTAAAAGGATCGTATTTTAAAATACATACTGATATTTTTATATTATTAAGGAGTGTCCTATGACGAAAAATACTTACTATAGTTTAGTCAATAAGAATTGCCCTTTTATTTATAATTTTGTTAATCGGAGTTTTTGGAAAATGTTTATTAAGGTAGGACTAGTAGCCCAGGTAGGTACTTACTTATATCACCTTATATATAGACCAAAATCGGAAGAAGTTTTTGAGTTTGCTTAACTTTGTGTACTAATAAAAATAAGGATAATGGACTTTGGAAAATATATTATAGAGGCATTGATAAATGATAATTGGAATATTTGTGTAAATATAGGTAGGTATTTAGTGCCAACCTATAATTAATATTAGATAATCTATCAACCTTTCATAATTTATAAAAATTGTTCTTCCATAAAAATATTAGATCTAATATTACTTACGTAGTTACATGGTTACGTCTACTTAATATTTTTAAGGGCTAGGTAGGTATTGGCTTTTCAAGTAGGTAAATTTATCAACATTTTCAAAAAATATCATTTGCTTAACAATTTGCAGTAAATAAGGTTGGTTTTCTTTTGTAAAAATCCGATTTATTGGAAATATTAAATATGGTCCTTGGATGAGTATCTATATAGGTATCTATATCTAATTGAAAGTTCGTAAAATTTGAAATTGATTAAATAATATTTATGGAAATACGTTTCCGTCTTTAAATAAAATAAAGAGAAAATATAATAATAAAATATAGGCACCTAAGTATTAATCAATAGGTGGGTATACTTTCGTTCAGATGTTTAGTATAGCACACATATCACATATGATAACAAGAGTGAGAGGAGAGGGGTAAAACGACCCACCCTGACATTTTTTGGACATTACATTATGGACGATATTTTTTGATAAACCTTAGTTTTCGTCGTTTTTGGTCAGTTGTAATACTATAGTCACCCTTTTCGAGGGTTAAAAAACGCTTTCCTTCCTAACCTCGCCAACCAAGATCCAACAAAAATATTATGTATTTATGTCCAAGTATTAAGTAGCCTATAGTATCTACGCCATGGCTTGAATTTCCATTTAGGTCTTTAGGCTTTAATATTACCGTATTTCGTATCGTTTTTATAATTTTTTAAATACTTGTATTATGACTACAATATCCCTGTAAGAAATAAATTACAATAGATATATTATAATATGATAGGTAGGTACCTAGTGGATAGTGTAATTTAAAATTGTATGTAAAAATAAAAAATTATACGGATAATTGGTGATATTGGCTTTTTGGTTTACCAATAATTCTAAATAATAAAATATACCTAAGTAAAAGCTATATGATTTTAATTTTGAACTAAGATGGCAGACAAAACTTTACAATTTCGAACTAACTGAAATTACCGCACAGACATCCTATACTCTCACAAAATCCCATTCATAATTCATGTTATAGACATTATAAAAAAAAATTAGACAATATAATACCAAACCATCGACTATAATAGTAAAATCTAGATTCGAATAATTTATAATATATGTCTATGACCTTTGTATTAAACATTTAATTCTATACAATATATATATGTAGGTATACCATTACCGGTATACTTCGGTATAGGTATATTATGCGCATGAAAATAGCTATAAGCTATATTTCTGAATCGATTAATTACCTATTCCATAAGTAGGATGTAGTATGTCGAAAACTACTCTCAACTATCTAGTACCAGTGGGTAGGTAGGTATTCAAATATAACACACCATCTTACTACACGTTGTCTATGGAATTGAAGGAAAATAGGTATTATGAATTTGTCAAGCAACAAGGTTTCGTTTTTAAAAAAATAATTTTTATTGAATTGGCGTTTGGTGTTTACAATTGGGTTAGTACGGTAGGTTATAATAAAATAATTATTAGTGTTTCTTATTCATGAGTTATAACATCATGTGTTTTAATGTTAGGCCTCCTTTACATAAAAACACTAAAACATGAAAATATAAGAAAGAATGACCCCGCCCTTCCATCCAAGTGGATTAATAATTTGTGTTTTGTACGTCGTTTACTATATTTACATTGTAATATTTCATGTTCAGTGTAATTAAATAGATACCTACAGGTTAAAATAGAAAAATATAATCTGTAGTTTTTGTATAAATGTTTAATCGTCAAGTAATATGGATATGGAATAATAGTTAATACTTAATACTTAATACTATAATAATATAATGATTAATGACTTATGAGACGAATAATGAATAGTTGTTATACAGAAATTCCTCTTATCACCTATCGGCTATTTGATTAAAACAAAAATGAATAAGGCGTTAGGTAATTTCGTGTTAATATTTGCAATTAGGCGTCAATATTATAATATTTATATAATAATATAATATTAATATATGTATTTTTTTTCATATATGATACAATATGTTGCGGAATTGCATATAGTTAATATTTTCATCGCCTTACAAATTTACAATATTATATTCATGAGCAATCATAGTTGTAATACAATACTTATTTAGTTGCACATTCATTATTAATGTCTGATAATTGGATCAGATTAAGAAAAATAAAATTCATAAAATTCAATATGTGGTTGGATAGTAAAATTGATTAAAAAAAAAAACGACCAACATTTTTGTCATCCATTTATTGTACTTAATAAATAATAACACAAAACTAAATTACTAATGGAAATTAGACATTAAAAATATTAAATGTGAAGATTCTAAGAAAATAAAATCTATATTTGATGAGTAGGAAATAATATTTAAATTTTGATAAACACATAAATTATATTTGTAAGTTTGAAAAAACTGCATTAAACTTATTTGCATGTTGTTATATCTTTTTCAGCTATAAGTACAACTATTAAATTTGTTTACTAAACATAAAAATAAAAGTACAGATATAATTCAGCGAGTGGAAGTTGGATTATACTTACCTCGTTTCTTTTACATTTATGTAAGCCAATGAATGTTGAGTTATTATTTTTAATTGGGAAGTAAAGCATATAACCTTACATTTGAAATAAAATTTTATACTTTGGGCAAACAACTTGATCATAGTGTAAATTAATACACCCGTGTACAATTTAAGTCACAAATGTTATTAAGTTATACACAATATACAAATGTTTTCTCTATACCTCAGCTTTACCCATATCATATTTTTAATGAGGCACTTTTATCAATAATTTTTCGATTAAAAAAGCCAAATTAACTTAATTAATGTACAATCAGTATCACATATTTAATCCAAGGACTATAAGAAGTTTAGGA